GAAAAGAAGGATAAGAAAAAAAAAGGAAAAAAAAGACCCGGAAACCTCGACGCCAAGGCAGTCGGAACCATTTTCATTGCTTCTAATTTAGATTACAGGTTGGATACGCTCCAGATTCATGACCATGTTGCAGAGTAAAAGCGAAGAAGTTAACATATCATAGGTTTGTCACCATACGGTGGACAATCGGGACAGCACTGGGAGGCAGACTGCCCATCTCAGTAATAACCATGTCGACATATTCTGCAGGCGTAACGTCATACATGATGTTCAGCAGCTGCAAGTTGGGAGTGTTGTGCCAGTTAGCAAGAGGCGACGAAGAGTTCTTGTGAGTGATAACAGGAGGCTCGGGAGCCGGGGTGCGGTTGCCACCCTTTTTATTCTCAGGCGGAGGCGGCACATACGCATCTGCCGGGTCGGGGACGACGAGGGAGACGGGAGTGCTCATGGGTAGCAACTCGTTGGCATCGGCGATCTCGTTAACGACGATGCTGTCGAGGGCGACGCGGTCGGTGAACTTGATTGTCTCACAGCAGACAATGACGGGGATTTCGACGCCACTGGCGCGCTCCTTGGCGGACATGGCGACAAGGGCGGTGCCGACGCGGGAGTACAAGCCGCCGTTACTGGTCATGGCATGGGCGCCGAGGAAGACTTTTGTGGCATCCTTGATGGCGTGGGTAATGGCGTGGACGAGCGAGTATTGGACGTCGAGCCCACTCTTGGCGAGATCGCGGGCAAGGCTTTTACCTTCGAAGAGGGGCCGTGAGTCAATGATTGAGACACGGAATCGCTTGCCTTGGTTGTGTGCTAACAAAAGGGTCTGCTTGACGATGCTGCTACCGGCAAATGTCACGATCACGTCGCCGTCTTGGACCTTCTGTGCTGCGCTGTCGGCAATCACTTGATCGGCGACGGTAATCTTCTCACGGATAAAGCTGTCGATGTACTCGCAGAGTGAAATCTTGGCGCTCGCCTCGGGGGTAGAGGGATCAATACCGGCAATGAAGAGCTTCAAGGCACGGATGGCATTTCCCTGGCTGATGGAGAGGGGTCGACATGTCGAGAGGTAGGTGATTTGGTACGAGAGGTGTGTGGTCAGGTGGCGAGCCAGCGAAGTGCCCATGGGGGTTGTGTAAGATTCAATGACCTTTAGAAAGCGAATTGTCAGCATACATAATCACAGTGATGTCTTATTGACATGAAGCAAGAGAACAACATACTCGTTTGAAAGCAATCAACGTGGCGACGCAGCGCGCACTGCTGCCGCAGATAGTGTAGTCCATCAACTGCATGCCCAGAGCCAGGATGGCAGGGTGGACTTCCTTTGTGGCACCAGCGACAGTGACGCGGCGCTGTTGTCCGTACAAATGCCCGAAGACAGCAACCTTCTTATCATCTTTCTTTTTCTTTTGCTCCACGAGAACAGACCCATTCTGCGCGATGGGACCTGAGCCACGGCGCGGGGGCGGCGCTCGCGGTCCCTTCTGTGCAGAGCCAGGGCCAGCAGCATCCTTCTTCGGTGTAGTTGGTGGACGAGCCTGGGCTCCGACACCAGGAGTAGGAGTGGTACTGCCGACGGGACCTCCTTCTTTCTCAAGTTTCTCTCGGATGCGCCGGGCAGCCTTCTCGGCCTTGGCTTTCTTCTTCAGCTCGGCTGGGCTAAGCGGCTTGTCTGTGGCGCCGTCTGTGGACGCGGGCGCATCTCCGGTGGGTTGGGTGGGTTTTGAGTCGCGGATCGGGAGAGTTTGCGGAGGGTTTTCGGTCGCGGGTTGAGCTTGCTCTGGTGCCGATGAGGCAGGAGTCGAGACTGGCGCCGTGGGCGCTGAATCGGAGGGTCCCACCATCTTGTCTGTGAATTAATTCTCGTGTGAGGGTGGATCTGTCAAGATGGTGGGGAGAGGGAGGGAGGGTTGACTCACGGAAAAAGAAATGATGCCATAAGCGGCCCACTGAGCGGCGCAGCCCTAACTTGCGGTTCATCGCGCGTTACAATAAATAATGTGTATAATTGTGGAATGATGAGTAACTCTCAACTTCTAGTTGAGTACTTGAATCAAACAGCAATAATTTACTATTCCCGATTAAATGACATGGCCTCCATATAAGAGTGCAGCCTGAAAGAAATTCGTGATACCCAATGAGGGTAGTTGACATTGAAACATGCATAACATCAAGTGTCTCATTATTCATCGCAGGGGCTCGCTATGACAGAAATAAGTACATAGGCCAAAACTAGTCTGGTCCCAATTCAAACAAGGAAGTCTGAACAAAGACTTCAAACATTCCAAAAGGGCATCGCAGAAGTGCAGACAAAGAGATCGCCGCCAACACCATTCAATCCCTGTACACCCAAAAGATAAAAATAAAGTCATATCCACATATTAACGATTGCTGACAATGGTCCCCAAGGCACGCCGCTTCCGAGTGGTATGCTCCTCAATCGGACGGAACCGTTCATGGTCCGTGGCCAGCTTCCTCTTGAAGACACTCAGGTCACCAAGAAGCTCATGCATGTGATTTTGCATCTGTTCGGCCTCTTGCTCGGTGAGATCATCAGTAGTAGCATCGTCATCTTCCCAGACGTCCATGTCAGATTCGGCATCTGATACCAAAGGAGAACCTTCGCGGTCTTCTGGATCATGGTTGGACAGTTGGTTCTCATCTTGCAGGGATGTAAAGCTAGGCTTTCGTTGCTCAAAGGTAATGGGTGGGATTGGGTTCTTGAGACTCTCAACCGCTAGCTTCAGATGCATGCGCAAAGCGTCGTTTTCTGTTTGCAGTTGTCGAATCTTGCATTCACTGACCATCTTGTTCTCCTCCATGAGGCGTTGCATTTTTTCGACTTTCTGCTGGTACTCTTCGAGCCTTTCATCGGAGGCCTCGCTTGCCCGCTGATTGACTGCTGCTTGGCTCACGCTGAGTTGAAGGGTGCGAATTGTTTCTGTCATCTCCGCAATCTGTCGGTCACGCTCAGCTGCCGACATTTGATCTTGGTTGACTCGTGCCCGTGTCCGAATATTCTTGGCCTGGTCCGCATAACGAAGGGTCGAAAGCGTCTCTTCATAGTCCGCAGGTGCGATACAGGCAATCATCGCAGTCTTGGAGTTGCCGCCCAGACTATCCTTCAATAGCCATGTCAGGATCGAGTCACGGTATGGTACTTGTTCTTTGCCCTTTCGTGGACCGCGGAGTTTCTTGGGATCTGCGAGCGCTGCAATGACACGTCCTAAGGTAGTCAAAGATTTGTTGATATTTGCACCCTCACGGAGTCTAGCGCCCGTTGCTTCGGTAGATTTGGCACGCTCGGAACCCGCCAGATCGACCAACCGAATTCGAGCAGTGCGCTCCGTCGTTTCATCTGTTGACAAGTCGTGGTGGATCTGTTTCAAAGTGATGGTAAACACTGCATGGGATCGAGACGAAGTGTCGTTCATCTTTGTGCTAGCTGTAGTTCGTGAGACATCGCCCTTTCGCATAAACTTCATCAATTCAGTGTAGTTCCTTGCCGTGACCTCTGTCAAATCCTTAACGTATGGACCTTCTGACGGCGATTCACGAATGCGGAGATAGTGTGGGGGATCTGCTCGCGGGACCAAAAGATCACGAACATGCTCGTTGTATACTTCGAAATAAGACACTCGGACGTTGTAGCTGATATCGGGCGAAGGCGAGTTCTCAATGCGCTGGAATAGGTCCTCGCAAGTTCGAGGAATCAAGCCGGGCCGATCTGGTGTTCCCATCATGGTGTAACTCTTTCCCGAACCCGTCTGTCCGTATGCGAAGATACACGTGTGGTATCCTTCGAAGTTGTGATCCAAGAACTCTTCGCCGAGAGAGTTGTAGACATCCTCCTGGTGTGCATAATGCTCATCCTCCTCATTGTGAGACCAAAAGGAGTTATCGAATGTAAAAGATTTATCTTCCAAGATCTTGCCGCGGGCTTGTGACTTTGGTTTTCCTTGATCGCCGGGTTTCGGTTTCGGAGCTTGAAGGCAGGTCATCTGCGTGCGCGGATCCATCGAAATCAAACATTCTGCCTTGCGGTCGATTTCTGCAAGATGAGGTCAGAATATGCCCTCACTTTTGGGTTATCGCGCCTCCCCGCATCCCTCCCAGAAAACACCTACCTCGAGGTAAGAACTTGCGCACTCGTACGACGACGCGCACATTTCCCCCTGGTGTTGGACTAGCCATCCCATCTCTGGTACGAGATATTGCGAACCCCTCTCGCGCGCGGAAGGAAGGACTAGACGCTGTGGATCGAAGCGTGGCGGCGGAAGCGGAGGTGGAGAGAATACTGGGGGAGGTGATTCCAGTGGCGGCTGATATGTCGGATGAAGCGGCTGAAGAGATCGAGCCTGGGCCGGGATGGCCAATGTGGTGATAGAAGCGCGGATCGAGCGCCATGTCCCTACTGCTGTCGCTTAATAGCTGCACACTAGCGGTGACGACGTCGCGCCGTCGATCAAGAAGAGAGTGGTACATGCAAGGTTGATTACATAGAATGGGATTGACAAAGGGGAGAATAAGAAATAGATTTGGAGGGAATATGTAGACTGGAATGAGTGAAAGGGGGGAGGGGGTCGGTACTGTTGCGCGTTGTTTCCTTGGGAAGTTCAGTTTATTGTAAACACAATGAGTCTAGAACATATTTGAAGGAAAGAATGTAGAATGTATAATATATTAAAAGAAAGAACGTGGAATTGAAATTGAAATTGAAATTGGAAAGATAATAATAGTAGAGTGATGATTTCCAAGGTTCTACGAAGTGTCACCGTCTATAAGGGCTGTTGCCATAGCAATGACCCGCTAACTCCACTATATATCTACATGTCCCCCATGCTCTGGAGTGAAACCTACACATATATGTGTTGAAACATATTGAAACCTGCATTAGATTGCTTTCAAATGTAGTTTAATCAAATGTAGTTCAATTCCCTTAATACATCCTATGTAATTATTTGATTTTTGCTCCAACCCCTTATATCAAATCCATCTTAATCAAACTCGGAAGTCTCCGCAGTCATAGCTTCAACCAAATCGGCATCCTCGCCAGGTTTTCTTGTTGGGCCCCAACTTGGATCGGGAACTGGGTTGCCAGAAGAGTCCATGTGTTCACTCAAAAGTTCATCCGGGCCCATATTGCTGTGGGAGGCCTTTTGCGTAGCATGGGACTTGGCTCTGCAGGCAGCGGCTTCCTGGCCCTTATTTTCACCTTTCTCCTTGGGCATGATGTCTTGACAATGTTAGCGAGAGTTCTTATAGAGCATCGCATCCTCCACACCGTCAACATCCCGATGCTCTTCTCATGAGGTACAAGGGTTGAATTGGGCTCCATACCAAGAGTTGTTTTGATTATATGTGGTGCTCGTTTGGTTTGTGTGATGCATCCTCTAACATCTGGAGAAGGGGTATTTCTATTTATGCGTTTATTGAAGGTGGCGGCAATGATTTGATCATGACGATGACATTCACCACCACCTTGGGTCCTTCTCCGCACTTGCCATTCAGATGCATCTGGTTGTGCCACTGATTCTATTATGTTCTGGCATCTGATTTACTATGGGTCAGTTAATTGAGGCTAGTAGTGGGCCGTGGTTTTTCTGAGGTAATTCATGGATGCTGGATGCTGGATGTTTGGATATGCCATCATAGCCTTTTTGCCACAAAGCTCTGTTTTGTTATTTGTTTTTTGGTACCCCACGAATCGTACCTTCCATAACCATCTGTCTGGTGGCAATCAAAATGCATTGATTCTATTGGCCTAGTACCTACCCTGGTTGAGGGTGTTTTATCGGCCTGTAATTCGGTTATGTACGTGAAAGCAAACTACATGACGCCGAGATATCACTTACATATATAAGCAATGAACTTAAAAGAGAGAACGATTCTCAAAAGTGTTACTTAATAGCAGATCTCTTTTTAGTTATATAATATTATAAGCCGCCACTAGAATGCATTAAGGTTGTCGGAAACCATGCGTACGCGTTCAGGCCTGACATGTGCATAATGACTGATGTTCAGTGAGTGCCAATTGGATGCTCACTACGTTTCGCTTTTGCCAAAGGATCTGCATGTGGATGTCGGGGGACAGAATCTCTTACATCAATATTAGACACCTCGCATAACAACCGGGTCGCTGCATATAGACAGGATAATGTCCGACGAGTCTTGGCTTTCCCTTTCCGTTTTAGTGCTCACCTCTTGCCGCCTTTTTCTCACTGAGTAAAACTGAGCACGCCCTGAGTATCACCTGACTGAGTACGACCTAAGCAAATCTTGCGTAGGAGCAGCTAAGTCAGCAGCTCACCTCAATAAAATGCACGCTAGCCTCATCGAAATGCAGCTGGTCACCACAACTCTTGACTGTTGTCCCTATCAATGAAAGGCTGGCGTCATCAATTTGGTGGTCGATCCTAGTTGTACCGCCTCCAACTGGGAGGTGAAACCGACAGTACTTTTTTTGGTTTTACCATTCTGCGGCTCTGCCACTATCCAACTCGACGTCTCAATATAGTAGCGGAAAATATCCAACCCTCAATTTTTGGTTCTACAATATCTAGCATATCTCAAAAAAGCCCACCTGGATGGTTTGTAAAAGAATGTAATTTTTGAATCTGGCTTCTTTTCTTTTCTTCAATTGTAATTTTAATTTTATTTGCGCTTAAATAACAACGGATTATCGCTCTTAGTGCCTCCGTTTGCTCCTAGGAATACGACCAGAGCTCTGGCGATACGGACATTCACGAAAATAGTCTAAACTCATCGATCATACCACTCCCGTACAAAAGGTGTAGGCCTATTTCCTATTCTACTACGACTGACTTATAATCTCTAGGAACGACTAGCAATACTTTTACACTTCGTCTCTTTTATAGAATTCTATCCTAGCTAGCTAGGACTTTCGCGTTTTTCTAGGTTACTTTCTTATAATCACTAGTCTTTATTTCGAACTTAAGGCTTCGTACGAATCCTCTAGCTAAAACCGGATCTAAGTGTGTTAACACATTAAGACATTTAGTAGAGTTGTCCGCCCTACGGTGTCGTCGTTCTCTCTGTACGATTAAAGAGAAGTGAGTAGATTCCACGCATGGTTAGCGATAAAGCTTTGCGATACTACGCCTCTCCAGTCCGCCACATACGCGTCGTATCCAAATGTAAGGACGCGGGCCGTCGGAAGCAAGGATAAGGAGAGAAAGGAAAGAAAGAAGAAGAAGAAGCAAAACACCACAAGAAAGGCCAAAATAGGCCATAAAACGGAAAGAACCACTCTGGTCCTGGACAGCAAACAGCGGAAACATCGGCTCGAGGGAGGGAATCTCCATCAAACATAAAGAGATAAACCGTAAAAACCGTAAGTACCGCTCAACTTTGTCGACACTCATTATATTCTCCCTGAAGAATGCTCATTGGACGTGTAAATTGCCATGAGATTTCATGCAGCATTATTTCAATGCAGAATTGGTCACGAACTCCTTATCTTGACTCTTTTGAACGAGATCATAGAACAATCCTTTGGCTCTCAATAGCTCTGCCGGAGATCCAATTTCCTCAATGCGTCCATCATCGATCACGATCACCTTATCAAAGCACGCGATCGTCCTCAGACGATGGGCGACGACAATGAATGTGCCGTTGAACTGGGTTCGGATCGTGTCTTGAATCCATGAGTCTGTCTCATTATCGACGGCAGATGTCGCCTCGTCGAGAATGACAATCTTGGGATCCCGGATCAAGATCCTCGCAAGGCAAAGAAGTTGTCTTTGACCTTGCGAAATATTTGCGCCGCCTGCACTGATTGGAGAGTCTAGAGTGAATAAGCCCTTGCTACCCTCCCCAGAGAGGAGCTTGACGTGGCGCAAGGCCTCGTTCAATTGGTCTTTTGGAACCTCTTGGAAATAATCCAGATTAGATCGGACTGTTCCTGAGAACAAAACTGGATCTTGGGGGATAAATGCGATTTTGGATCGAAGGGACTGTAGCTTAATCATAGAAATATCAATGCCGTCAATAAGGATCGAGCCGGATCGAGGGTTGATTAAGCGAAGAAGTGCCAGAGTCAGGGATGATTTTCCAGCGCCGGTTCGACCGACGATTCCAATTCTTTGACCTGCCCCCACAGTAAAGGAGATATCTTTCAAGATGAGAGGAAGGTCGGGCGAGTATGAAATATTTAATTGGTTAACTTCAACCTCTCCTTGAGATGGCCAATTCGTTGGGACTTCGTTGCCACCTTGCTCCTCGGCTTTTAGCTTCGAGTATGAGATTATTCCCATAGCTGCATTCATATAGCTCTCTAGCATCCCAAAATTATTAACGGCAGTGAAAGTAGCGTGAGAGAAACCCATCGAGAATGTCAGGGAGAATCCCACCAGGGACGCATCAAAGACGGTTTTCGATGACAATAGAACGAAACCTGTACCCGAGCTTAAGATGATCCCCATGAGAGATATTTGAAGACCGAGCCAACGGTTGAAAATCCAAAAATGCCGCCGAGCAATGGATAGGTCGTCAATTCGAGAATGCATCTGGTCAATAAACTTATCCACAACTCCAAAAGCCCTTATAGTCGACACTCCAGCGGCAGCGGTGGTGAAGTATTCTAGGATTTCCGCGTTGCCCTCGGATTCACCACGTTTCACAGGATTTCGGGCTTTAACATAGCCCTTGCTGACTTGGAAGCACCAAAACAGAAGGGCTGCTATTAAACAACCCGTGAAGAGGGACCGTTGTATTCTGGATATAGTCAGCTGACTGATCGACTTAATAACAGAAACAAGGCTTACCCTATGCACCCAACAATCACTAGTTTCACAAGACAGTTGGCGAAGTTAGACAGGGTTTCGAGCAGATTGTCATCAATTTGTCTTGTTTCGACAGTGAAACGCCTCAAGATCGCCCCAAGAGGCGTGTTGTCAAGCCAGAGAAGGGGCATTCGGATGACATTTGAAGTCATCGTGCGGAACAAGGTCTGCGAGGCACGCAGTGATCCCGAAAAGATATGCATATTCAAGAGAAACTCTAGGATGACCGCAGATAGGCATCCCAAAAGATACATGTACAGATAATACCACAGATTATTTCCAACCTCGATATTTTCTGGGTCATACATTCCTATTTTCGAGCGTCTTGAATTGATATGGCTGAGAATCCATGTTGTCAGTGTAGTCGTTAGTTGCTTGCCAAGTAAACCGAGAATGTAAATCGTTGCAAATCTCACACCACCGGCAGCACGAAAGTAACTCCTGCAAGATTCCCAATCAGATTCTGATTTTGTCATCTTAACCTTTGACTTATCACTGGCACACTTCTTGGGTTCCTCTTTTGTTGATAGACTCGTCTCGATGGCGATTTCGGGTTCCACAATATCCAAACTTGCTTCAATCATATCGGGATTGAGAGAAGAGCTCATGGTGTTGTTTTTGATTTGAACAACAATCTTGGCATGAGGCAAACACAAAGACACATGATGAGTTGCCAGTATCCGTGTGCGGCCATGGCTGAGCTCTCCGGTCAGCGCTTTGAAGATCTCCGAGGAGACATGAGCGTCAAGTGCAGAAAAGATATCATCCAAAACCAGTGTTTGAGCATTAGAATAGAGAGCTCTAGCCAGCGAGACTCTTGCCCGTTGACCACCGCTAAGTTTAACACCCCGCAGACCAATATGAGTCTCGTCCCCTTTTGTCAGGGCAGCAAGATCAGTCTCAAGTACGCATGCTTTGAGTACTTTCCGGTATTTGGTTTCATCTAATGCACTCCCAAACAATATGTTGTCTTTGATAGTGGCATTTTGAAGCCACGGGGTCTGTGAAACAAATCCGAACTTTTCATTCAATGACGGTATCTCGATGTGACCGCTAAGGATGTCAACCTCTCCAAGGATAGCAGCAAGCACCAAACTCTTTCCTGATCCAGTTTCTCCACGTATCACACTGAGTTCACCTCGAGGAAACTCGACATTAAGGCCATGGAGTTCAAACCGCTCGGGCAAGGAAGCTTTCTTCTCGTCTTTCTCTTGCTTCTCTTCAATCCCTTGCTTCCCTTGCTTCTGATCTGACGGCCAAGCAATGTGGGCATCTCGGAAGGAAACACATCCAGTAGGACTCACATCCAAGATCCTTTTCATTTCTGGAGTTTTCAAATACTTCTCTATGCGACGAGCATTTGAACGAGCGCTGTAATAATCCTGTAGGACCGTGGGAACCGTTCCTAGCGTCCCTTGGATTTGCGGTAGCAACTCGATCATTGTAAATATGATGGACGATGACACCTCGTTCTGAGTATAGGCGTAGCTGCAAATTGCAGCCGCGGCCACGATGAAAGGCGATGCGACTTTCCATACCGATCGAATATTAATAGCAATAAAGGCCCTTCGCATCAGCGACATCTCCTCCTGGCGACATGATTCGATACACTCTTCCCACTGCCTTTCAAGGGCCGAAAACTTGATCTGCCGGAGAGCCTGCATAGCCTCAGTAACAGCCTTTGTCTTCTTGTCTCTGGCCACTGTGAGTTTATTTTTCGCAGCTCGCTCGTGCTTGAGGACTTTTGTATGCACAGGTGCGGTTCCTATCGTGGCCAGAACTGCTATCACCGTACTCTGCCATCCCAACAACCGTAGCAAAAATAATATGACAAACAAGAACTTGATACATAAGAAGGGAAATAAGTAGTTTACGGCAGTGAACTTGCTGAAGGAAAGTGTGTCATGGGATATCAGATTGATCGCTTCCGGCTTATCTCCCGTTTCTTTGGAATCTTTAACGCGTAGGACCTTCGAAAAGATTGCCATAATAAGCTGTGCTCGAATGGGAATTCCCATCTCAGACCATTGGGTCCAAGCTAGGTGATGGTGGAGTATGGTTTCGGTTGCAGAGAAGATGGAGATACCGATTAGCCAGAGCCAGGCGGAATTCGTTACGCCACTGTTCTCTTCTAGGCTCTTCAGCAATCGCATAACGCAGTACGGAGAACCAAAGGTCACCACCGATCGTATCAACATTAGAATCCATTGTTTAGCGAATCCTAGATAACGCTCGGCAAGAATATGATTCCACAGTGATATCTCAGACAGCACTATCAGTGGCTGAGCATTTGATCTAGTGTGATAATTCAATATTGGCAGTTTGCCTAGCCTAAGGTTGCCGGCAATATGAATGGCCCCTGTGCACCATTGCATTGAATATCGTTGGAAGGCTGAGCAAGTATTCTCGAAATCTACAGGTCGTCCTTCTGGTGAGAAAATGTCCGGTCGACGCGGAAATTGAATCTGGAGAATTGCAAGAATCAAAGCGGCAACCAGTGGCAACGAAGACGACGAGAGATCGAAGAAAGGCCCTTCGTCATGCTGAGCGTTTTCAAGAGTCTGTGAGATGATAATGAGAGCAGATAGCAGCGACCCCCTCAGACCAGAGGCATATAACTTGACTGGGCTTTTAATCCAACGAAATGCAAGGCTATGGAGTAATAGAAGAGGCTAAAAATTGAGTTAGCCGTGAGTCCCAAGACAATGATGATATTTTCCAGGAACCTACCCACAGAATCTTAGCCAAGAGAATTGGCTGTTTCCAAGACTCGTTTTCCCTGGCGTACCCGCCGCTCAGTGAGAACGCGCCAGTCCCTAAAAGCGATACTAGGGAGGTTAAAGAACACAGACGCCGTATGCGATTTTGGTAGATTTCCTCCGACTCCTTGGAAGCAGTGCCATCTTTGTCTGAATAAATCATTTACGGCACTGGGATTGCGATTTCCAGCTCGGCTGGGAAGGACTCTCTGGGCAAAGAATACCTGAATGTCGATTATAAGGCACAGAAAATACCAGCAGTTGCTGTGAGTGCAAACGTAGATAAAGCTCCAAGCTTTGACGGGGAAGTGAAAAGAGGATAATAGACCGAGGAGAGATAGGTGGAAGGATTGGGAGGGGGTGAGAGCTAAGAAAGCTTGCATTAGTGTGGCAGGGCCTGTTTCCTCCTACTCTCTTATCATTATGATTTCTTGATTTATTGATTATTATTTTTTCCTTTTTCCAAAATTAAGACAATCAATAAATCAAAATTTCTAGCGAGACACACTTAGGAAGCCCCAGGTACCGATGGGTAATACATGGCCAAGATTAACTAATGATACGAATTTGACCAGGTACTTATACCCAAGATACCTCAAGTCTAGTTAAATTTCTTTCTTCGAAGATCCATTACATCCTCGAGAGAAGCTACCAAGGGAAAAAGTAAAATGGCTTGAGAATCACCAAAAAGGTGCAATAAAGAAATGGCTTCACAGTCCCATTACACATTTCCATAACGAGGTTAGCGTAAATTTGTTTAAGCCTCAACGGGGTTTATCGTTCACTTCCAGTTGGTCCCGGCACCTTCATCCGATGCCTTGGTCAGCATGCAGTATGTCCTTAAAAAAAACAGGTCAATATCATAGTTCCAGAGAGTGCGCTTTGATATTACCATTCTAGTTAATTTCCAACACTTGTTTGGCTTTCCGTGCTCTCCCTTGAAACTATGAATTTCTATGCATTGTTTTTGCCTCAAAGCGGGAAATCGGGAGAGCCTAGCCCGTATTCAACCAATTCCGATTCTAAAGTCGAGAATTCGGGACAAAATAGATTAAAGTATGGCGTGGAAATCTGTATAGGCTCAGGAACCTGCATGCTAGAAGCAAAATCATGGCGAATCCCGTCGTCGAGTAACTCAGTATTTTGGGGCAGTTCGCAGTGCTGCGATAATACATTCGCATGGTTCGCAGCGGCGGAAGATGCAGTTCTCTTTGGAGAATGGCATTGCCCGTCCGGGAGCCACATACGCTTCAACAGACTTGCAAACCGACTAGCAATATGACAATCGCTAATGGCAGCTTCTTCGAGTACTTGTATAAAATGCTGCACTAGGTTGGCGACTTCAGTATGTTCTGTGCCTACGAAGGTTCCAAAAACGTCTGCTTTATATAAAAAGACAGCGGAGTACACCGTATACCTATTCGAACCATTAGCCATTCCTAAAGATAACCTAATTATTGTCAATAGTAATACGTACACGTAAAAGCGGAACGGCATGTATCGAATCTGCGCCTGGGAACTTGTCTGGACGGTTATTGTTAGGATCCCCCGAGCTGCATCTACTGCTTCGAGGACATATGCACCCTCTGCGGTCGACATGATGCCCCGTGGAAACAGCGAGGGGGCTCCCCTTGGCCCCGAAGTTGCTGTCCGGTTTTCTCCCGCAGGACGGGTGTGGTGAGCTGCCCTGGAAAGAAGTGATTGGAATGCAAACGAGTTTGCATACAATCGGACGTACTCCTTGAAGATATGCAGAGTGCAGTTCAGCTTGGGAGATGCCTCGAGACCATCCCAGCGATCTTTCCACGCCGACATGGAGTGGCGAAAATCATCTAGATAGCGATTGTAGTCCCCCCGTCGAACCATTTGAGTAGTTCGTTCCTTGCACGAGTACAAAGTGTCATGCACGTTGTGAAGCAGCTGCGTGAGCTCAATGGTGGCCTGTAAGACATGTGCATATTTGTGCTCTGCATCTGCCCTGAGCCGTAGACTTGGAAAGTCATTCGCCGTGAAGTTCGTTGAGAGCGATGGCCCTCGCGACCAAAATGACTGTCCCATACGGACGGAGATCTGCCGATCGGAGATATATACAACTGGACGCTAGTCAGTATCGCCTGAGAACTCGTATGGTTTTATGGGACGCACATATCCATGCTAAAAGGTTTCGGTTCTCGAGTTCTTGCGACTCTCCGATAGCCGTCTCCCGAAAGGACGCCTTGTCTAAACGCAGGAGATAAGAATGCCTTACAGCCTGGCCGATGAGTGACCAGGCCATATTATCTTCGACCGCACTCAGGTTCCTCGGGAACATGTTAGGATAGGAACAGGTCTCGAGTTGCATGTAAGGAACCCACTCCGCCAGAAGCAGGAGACCTTCGACAGACCCGACCCTTAGAGTCGACGGCGTGGCGAGAAGTATATCCAACAAATGCCTCTTGAGATACTTCCAGCAATGTTGGTGGATATCTTTATATGCGGGTTCGTCTTTGGATGCAATAGTCAGAAGCACTGTCAGCAGGAACGGCTCGTCTACCGCTGCCCCACGCGGGTCCGTCGTCGCCAAAAGCTGTTTTGGTGCGAGCGGACAGAAAGTATGGTAATTTGCCGCGTAGCTAGACTGTCAGAAGAAAGGCAATCATGCACGGAATGTAAAAGGTCTCATACTGATGTATTAGACGGCCCACAGTATCTGTGCCTAACACGCCGATCACTAATGTTTCTGTCTCAGACAATGTCGACTGTAACACAGGAGGCTGCGTAGACTCAATCTGACTGCCCATATTGAAGGCAGTATCCGTTCCACTTTGCTTTGCGGATGGAGTCGCCGGGAAATGACCGAAGGTCGTAGAGTCATTAGGGTGATTCGGAACCCGGGAATCGTTCGCCGCGAGTTGGGCAAGAATCTGGAGTGCATCGCCCGGATTGGTTAACTCAGCATATATCGGATCGTCGATTACTTTTTCATCATCTCTACTTTGCTCATGCTGTCCGTGGCCTATGTTAGCCCTACTGAGGGCTGGCGTAGAGCTTTGCTCCCTGTGTGAGCGTCGAAATCGTGAGAAGTCGCCCCCGCGCCGTGACCCGGCAAGAATACATTCATTACCAGCACGGAGACACTGAATGCAGGAGGACCTTGTCCCATCGGACAAGTTGGACCTGGAGAATGTTAATGAAGATGGAGAGGGTGAGGCATCATACAACTCACGGATCACACTTGAGTTTCCGCTGACGACATCGCTGGCAGGCACGATAGACACGAATATTTTGACTACGAGTCATTGTGAGGGTTGTAGGTAGTAGGAAGTAGGAAGCAGGAAGTGTTGTAGAAGAGAGATTTATTCCCCAGATTTACCCCACACTGTGGGGTTCGGCAATAGACGGCAATGGTTTCTGTCTCCGCACTATTTCCTATCAAGACATGGACATATACTATGGATTGATTGTATATTGAGCTAATTAATCACTGAAACACTTGATCTCACTTGAATAAATGCACAACTTGCGTGTTACAGTACTCAAGGAACCCCGTGGAACCCCACTCGCCCCCGATCCCACTCTCCTTGTGTCCAGACAACATTGCCCTTGGCGTTGTTTTCGCCCAAGAGTTTACAAAGACGCTTCCAGCCTGCATTTGCCTACCAACTCGCTCGGCTCGAGAAACGTCAGCACTCCACACGGAGGCTCCAAGGCCCGAAGTGGTTCCGTTGGCGGCGGCGATGACATCCCTTTCATCGGACCATTTGAGGACTGGCACGATGGGACCTAAACACAACAGAATTAGCATTGTTCAACATTTTTCATGGTACCCATCAACCAACCAAATTGCTCTTCCATGACGATTCGTGCGGTCGGAGGTGGATTGTCAACGATACTTGGAGAGATATAGTAGCCTTCCCCTTCAATGGGATGCGGAGCAAGAGCAAACTTGTAGCCCTGGGCCTTACTATCCGCCACCAGATCCTGGACTTTTTCGTATTGCATTTTGTTCTGCATCGGGCCCATTGTAGTGCTGGGACTATCGGCCTTGCCTACCTCCATTCGAGAGACCGCATCCACCATAGATTTCAGGAATGGCTCGTAAATGCTTTCATGCACGTAAACTCTCTTAGTGGCAACGCAAACTTGACCGCAGAAGACGAAACAGCCCTGCGCCACTTCTGGGGCTGTTTTTTCAATGTCCACGTCCGGGTAGACGATTGCTGGATCATTTCCTCCCCTGCAGAGATTAATATATGAGCAGGATATTCTTCGAGTACCGTCCTAAGAGATTATACACACAGTTCAAGAGTCACACGTTTCAGTGTCGCAGCCGCAGAAGCCATGATTCTTTTTCCAGTTGCACTGGATCCCGTAAATGTAACCTTGCTGATATCGGGGTGTTGAACGAGTGCTGGGCCAATGGAATCATCACCACCAATGATCTGGACGACGCCAGGAGGGAAGACTTTCTGCGCCAGTTCAACCATTTTCAGTGCGGAATATGGAGTGAAGGGCGACGGCTTGACAATGATCGAACACCCGGTCAGTAACGCTGGCAAGATTTTTCCAACAGACAAGACAAGAGGGAAATTCCATGGGCAGATAGCAGCAACGACTCCGACAGGGACATGACGCGTAATTGCGATGCGGGTATCGTCTTCAATTCGCTCTTCCGGCATGCGAAGCTGCACGTTATGATCAAACAGGGCGAGGATTTCTTTCGCCTCGCCGGCGGCCACCGGGCGGGGTTTCCCGCACTCTGCTATGAGAAGCTTGGTGAAATCCTCAATGTGCGGCTCGTAAAGATGTTTCCACTGAAGGATTTTGTCAACTCGCTCTCCAAAGGGGGTCGTAGACCACGACTTGAATGCTTCATTAGCAGAGCGAACGGCGTCTTCCACATCTTGCTTGGTGGCCACAGGTACGTCCCATAGCCTGGATTCCGTGGAAGGATCAACGCTAAACGTTGTGGTGTCGGAGGTTTGGCACTCGCCCTTGATTATATTAAAGAAGTTTTCGAAATTCAGAGTTGATTCTGCCATTGTGTATGACTGGGTTGTTCTTGACTTGGCTATGCTCGGTTGTGTGATAAGGCTGGGGATGGTGAGTGGACAGTTCTGCTGTGACCGGGCCGTATTTATCTATTTCAAAGATTTAATAGAATTCCAATGGCGTGCCCTCACAGATGCTTTCCATATCGGAGTTGTAAATTGCGCCCGTTAATATGCCCGGATCTATAGCCGGAGCAGATATGGATGACGTTGCGACGGACATTTGAGGACGGCTGTAGATGGAAACAGATGGACCATCTCGGATTCAAGCTCTCCCCAGGATTGCGGATTGGTGGGGGTAACTATTCCTGAACGGACCTCATCTATAAAACAAAGAAGTATAACGATTCTAGTTGTCTGTCCTTCACAATTCTTCTCAACTTACACCGGGTTTCTTCGTTGGCTCATATTCTATCTTTTTCAAGGTCGATTCATCTACAATGCAGGTTCCCCAAACCCACAAAGGCTTAGTCTACGATAAGCCGGGCGGTATCTCCACTCGTCTGGTGGAATTGGATACCCCGAGTCCAGGCCCTGGGCAAATCCTGGTCAAGATGTAGGCTGTGTCCCTCGGCGTTATTTAGTGTACTGACATCAAGCCAGCACCCACTCCGGAGTATGTCATTCAGACCTCAGCCTCATGACGACTACAGTAAGACTCGAGTCTCCCTTCACACAAATTCGCATCGGATATTTTACCTAACTCCATCGCGTCCATTAGTGGAGTTGGCTTCCGGAGCCCGTAAAAAGCGGACAGGTTGGCGGCCACGAAGGCGTGGGCATCGTCGCCCAGCTAGGACCGTCCTGTGAAGCTTCCGGTGTCAAAATTGGTGACCGTGTAGGCATCAAATGGATTGCATCCGCCTGTGGTAACTGCATGCCATGTTTGGCTGGCGCCGACGGTATCTGCGCGAACCCAGAAATATCGGGCTATACGTGCCCCGGCACGTTCCAGGAATACACTCTGGCTCCTGCTCACTATGTGACGCCAATTCCCGACGGGTTGGCAAGTGAAGTGGCAGCACCGCTTCTTTGTGGTGGTGTTACGGTTTACTCGGCGCTCAAGAAGAGCAGAGCCCAGGCCGGGGATTGGGTGGTAATTGCTGGAGCCGGCGGTGGTCTGGGTCATCTGGGAGTGCAGCTCGGAGGCCGAGGAATGGGATTCAGAATCATTGGTTTGGATATGGGATCCAAGGAAGGTTTCGTAAAGGAGTGTGGTGCCGAAGCTTTCATCGACATCAGCAAGTATTCTGTTGATGGAAGGAAGAGCATTGCAGATGAAATAATGGCCATTACTGGCGGATTTGGAGCCTCGGCGGCTGTTATTTGCAGTGCAAGCAATGCTGCATATGCGGAAGCCCTTTCATATCTTAGGTTCAATGGAACACTGGTGTGTGTTGGGGTTCCGGGTGAGGCCAAGGCAATTGCTAGCGCTTATCCCCACACGATGGTTGGTAAACAACTGGCTATCGTTGGAAGCACCGTGGGCAACCGTCGAGAGGCAATCGAAACGCTGGATATGGCAAAGCGGGTAGTCACGACTCCCTTCCGTCTTGAGAAGGTGCAGAATATCAATGATGTCTTCGCGGAGATGAAAGGCGGCAAGTTGCAAGGCCGTGTCGTGCTAGACCTACAGCCGTGTACCTAATATTCTGAAGTATTGAAACTCGGTATTTTCCACTTGCCTCAGCGTTATGAAAACTGTAACCCATAGTTCCAGGAACTAGAGATTGGTTAATAGGTTCCATAGAAAATAAATTTACTGAATTAGTCCTCGCACTTAGCTTGGTGACCCAGCTCAGTCTTGTTGCAGGTTGGGATTCTCTAAAAAAAAAAAAGGCGAAGTCACCCGAATTGGGACGCCTGAAGGAAAGCGGAATTTAGCTGAAGAATAGAATCTGTACTCCCGCTATTGAACTTCCGAAATTCTGTGAGAATGGAAATATTCAATCAAGAAATTTATTATAGTAAAAGGAAATTGGGAAAAGCCACGCAATCAACATTCAATTTATGTTTCAACATGACTTAACGACTAGGAGATCCAAAGTAAAAACCCAGAAAGACCAACTTCATTGAGTAACTATCAAACATTGCAATCGCCCATGCAAGTTATGAGTATCTTAGTGTATATGTTCTGCTATTCAAGGAAGCCCTTGCCTGACATCAGTATGCTCATTTAATCCCCAGGCTGTCGAGCTCGAATCATGAACAGTCGTCCGTCTCATATCCCGCTTGTATGTCCGAAGGAAAGGACCCCCAACAGCCCGGTGCATAGTGCACGTATTGTCCCAAATAACTAGATCGCCCGGTTTCTGCCACTCAATCTCCACGGTATTTTCATCACGAGTGGCGTGCTTGAACAACCGGTCAAACAATGCCTGTGATTCGTCGGAAGCGAGGCCTTCAATATGATGAACGTGGGCCGCAATGTACAAATTCATACGGTCGGATGGCTCATGACGCTGCACCAATTTGTGCCGTCCCATAGGATAATCTAGCGGGTTGAGCTCGGCAAAGGCGTCGGGGGCGGCTACTTTGCGAGAGTGGTGCATAGAGTGGCAAGCTATGTAGTCTTTGGCCAATAGCTCCTCTTTGAAACCTTGGGGAAGATCATCGAATGCAGTCCTCGTGTCTGCAAAGGCAGTGTGGCCGCCCATTCCACTTGGTGGTAGCTCGTGTGCTAGGAGAAGCGAGTATCCGGCGCGGCGGGGGTTGAAGCTCGAGTCCACGTGGAAGAGGTCATTACCCTGTGTATCCGTGATTGTCAGAACTGCCGTAAGGGGTCTTTTTCTGGTCAGTTAGGTAGCTACCTTGTTTGCCTGGGAACGTGGGCTTGTAGGGTCAAGGATAGACCCGTCGGTGTCGACATTGCTGACATCGAAGAGCTCTGCGTATTTGAGACGTTGTTTCCGACCAGCAGCGATATACGGTTTCACGTCGTCTAGATCCCCAAATCTTTTAGAGAATGCAATATGGCCCTCATCTGTGAGGCCCGTACTACGGAAGACGACGACACCATACTGGGTTGTAAACACTCTGTAAGACATAATGCAAGTTCGCGATGTCAAAGAGACCGGACATACCTTGGTCACAGCTTGGTATATCTCCTCGAATACTTCAACTTTCAAGGGAGACGAAAAGTCCACGCCACTGATCTCGGCACCGAAGGTCGGGTGCAAAGGCTTGATGGAGATGTGGGCAAAAGTGATTCCGTTTGTGGTGACCGTCATTCTGAGCTGGAGTACTCTTGTAATTCGTAGTTATCGAAATATTGTCAACGTTATCTGTTATATAGGTGACGCAACTTTGAGATGGAAAAGATGAAGAGCAACCAAGTTGGTAATTTTGAGTTGTCTAAAGCCTTCTATTGCCGTTATGAAAGTCCCGCCATCTATAACCGATGGGCTAGAATTTTGAAGTTACGTTTGACATCATGATATAGAAAGTTGAGAATCACTGGGACACCATAATGTCCTCATCTAGAGCCACCTAATTCCGAAAAACATTGGTATATCCACGGCTTAACGACTGTGGCCGAAGATGGCCATCCCCATCTAAACCCGACCCCGAAGGGTTTCCTACTCCATATCCGGAGAAGGTTGAAATTGAACTCGGAACTTATGAGATGTATGTATCGCTTTATTTTCATAGAAAATCCATCCGGTCCGTGATAAAATTCGCAAAAAACAACGTTGTCCAGGTAGGTGTAGGTGGGCTTGGCACGATTGGAGATATCGGGAAAACTCCGAGTGAGCTTGGGAAGCCTTCACCAAGGCACAGTTCGACCAAGGTAATCGAGGTATTCAAGTCCGGGTCGTTCTTGTTTTGTAATAAGTACATTCACTAAGCTGGGGATGCTTTCTTCGATTGTGAGCCGAGCATCGGGACCTCCCAACTCAGTTTTGACCCACCCCGGAGCCATCACCACCATTGGACGCGATGGGTCCTGGCGAGCCGCAAAGCTTCGCATGAACATGTTCAGCGCGGCTTTAGTACCCCGATACACCTCTCGAAGACCCGTTTCATTGTTGCTGATGCTTCCCTGTCCCGATGACATCACCCCAATAAGGCCCTTTGGAGTCACATGGTGTGCCAGGCTTTCAACGACACGCATCGGGCTGAGCGAATTCGTGACCATGACATGGATGAAATCTTCCGTTGATACATCTCCAATGTTTTGGGTTGGGTCACGATTCGTTGTTCCGGCGTTGACGAAGAGGACGTCAAATGTCTTGCCCGATACTGATAAGCGATTATTGAGCGCCTTGATTTGATCGGGTTCGCAAATGTCCAAGGTCTCAATGTCAACCCGGCCAGTGTATTTGTCTGCTAGCTCATGGAATAATGTTCGTGACTCTCCGCGGACTGTGCCGACGACGTTCCATCCCTTTTCTAGGAATTCTGATGCCATGGCATGGCCGAGGCCGCGCGAAGCGCCGATGAGAAGGATTGTGGGTGAAGCGGACATCTTGCTGTGTTATTTGAGAGTTGATTAATGTAATTGAGCAGATTGAGCCTTTTAAACCCAACAGAGTCGGCTCGGCATTTTCTAGTCCCGGGTTATCTCCGGGTCGGATTTCCCTTGGGGGAAGCCACCGAGGTCTCGTATTAGGAAACACTCTCTAGCTGTATACCTATAACGTATTGGATTTCAACGAGTCATGGAATACTGCAAATACAGCATCTGGGCTGATAGGCAACCCCACCAATCTCACAGAAGCGGGGCCCGGGCATCTAAACTCTGCCCCAATTGGCCATTCGGTTAGTTACCGTGTTTTTAATTTCGGCGAGAAGCCGGGAGCGAATGAATAAGAACCAATATATGATTGAATCCCTGGACTTGTAAACAAGCTTTGAAAATTCGATCATCGTTTGCCATCGAAAGGGTCTGGCGTAGACCTAGGGGTGGTTTGATACTTCTAGCAGGTTACGCCGAACTAGGTGCGTAGACCTTTACGCTGGCTGAACTGTGATTCAATTCTCCTCTGGTTCATCATCTGATTCCACGTCCGATTCATCCACCTCATCTCCCCAGCCAACACACATCGGTAGTCCATAGGGACTGCCAGTACCATCCCCGTCTTCCTGTGCCCAAATAAGTCTATCATGGTGGGAAAGTGCAGCCAGTGTCGCCCCACGAGCTTTCAACAGGTTAACGATATCCCAAAGACACTTCTGTTCAGCAGCGAAGAGTCCAGTATAGCCATACAATGAGATATTGAATTCTCGATCAAGGAGAAGTCTCACCATAGATTCATCCTCATTTAGTACAGCTAGCTTTAATGCTGTATCTTGGGGTCCCACGCCGTATTCAAGCAATATGGGAATGATATCCCGTCGACCATCTTTCACGGCGCGATACAAAGGGGAAGGGGCATACAATTCCGGATCAGCACCTCGCCGAAGCAGTAATTTGACTAGCTCTAGGTTCCCTCTCTGCACCGCAGTAAAGAGGGGTGGGTAGTCAACGCCCTGACGATGCCACCAGTAAACATTATGTTTAGGATTTAGGTCGTCAGCACGAGTCCTGCAGTAGAAGTTGACTTGTGCACCGAAGCCTAGCAAGATGACCACAACTTCGGTATGGCCACCCTGAATTGCTGCCACCAGGGCGTGCTGGATATTCACGACACTCAGCACGCTGTATCCTTGTTGTAAAAGAGGATGGGTATAAATATCCCGAGAATGAGGATCCGTCTGTCGCCATATATATTGCACTGTCGATGAAACTGTCATTTCATCCTCGTCTGCGCACATTTTTGGTAACTTGTCTTCTGCTGCAAATGTCACTGCGTCGGACGCTGGATGGTAATAACGGGCAATGTTCAACCCGTCTAGCAAACCTCGAACTTGTGGAACGAGGTTCCGTTCAGCGACAAAAGAGAGCCCGATTCCATGCTTGTACTGGCCGTGAAAACAATACAGAAACTTGATGAGGAATCTCTGTAGATGACGGTTGGTCCGGATCAAGGCGTAAATGTCACCCTGCTTGCAAAAGCATGAGGCGATGATCCATATGATCTCTGTAGGTAGTTGGTCGAGCGCCATTACGGGAAAGTGGATGAGTTGAATTTTGCAGGGGGAAGTGGAAAGGTAGAAACAAGTATGTAGTTAGCGTGAGTGGGCGGTGTCATTTTCCAGCCTTCCTAAGCGCATCAGAGTTTTAAATATCTCAGTGCACGTTATTTCATCTTTATATGAAGTACTATGGGACTAGATGGGGCTCTGGAGCCCTGGAGCAGCCTTCACTGCGGATGCATATTCTCCAACGAGCGGTTTTAATCCTAAGAGGAACAAAAGTACTATCGGTATTTATATCAAGAGCTCATACAATGGTGTCTGGGTTCTTACCATCAAGGTCATGTGGGAGGCGTGCCATCTGCTGGCATATCAGGAAGTAACTCGAAATCGTTGACAGGATTGGGCGATGCTTTAAGATAGGAAACGGGGGTAGGGAAATCTCGAAGGACCACCTGGTAGAGCTGGCTAGACCGGGTACCGGTCTGGAAGAAGGCGCGTAAAATGGGATGCATATTGATAACCTGCTGCTAGCTCTTGGCGACATTGCCCTTTTGCACTGGTGGTGAGGCCCTTGACAAAGGCCGAATCTCCACCACCCAATTGGCATACCACGCATTTCTTGTTTGTTGGGCACGGGCGAAGCTTTCTTGCATCAGGGAGTCTAGGTATATATCTTCCACATTAGGCGTATTAATAAATAAGTTTTCCTGATACTCGTGGTGTGAAAGGTAGTCAGTCTACGGACAGGGAGAGAAGGGAAGAAGAAGGGGCGAGGAAGCAAGAGAGACCATGATGCTGTCACATGGGTAACTGTTCCTAACGGAGAACTGGGCAGCAACAGGGGGTCACTAAAGTAACGCTTTGGAACTCGATGACCAATTCGCATTCGAATACTAAGCTCTGCGGGGACGATCGTGGTGATAGTCCGGAGAAAGACCGAGGTTTAGAAAGACGGTAGGAGACTCCCTATATAATCATCTATATTAGAACAACTGGACCAATGTATAGCTACCTCTTTGCAACTCAATTCATACGTTAACCGCCTTTGCTTCTTTAGATTCCTCTCATGGTCATAGTCATATCTGTAGCTGTAACACCAAACATCCAAAGAATACCTGAAATAGGAAATTATTAACGTTGATATATGCAAATCTAGATATAAACTGTAATCTACTCAACCTCTACAACACCAGAACAAGGTAACCCACATCGCCGAATGGCCGGGCGAATCTATTTCGGCGCAGCCTTCCAGAACAACCACGCAATCGCAGCAACAAACTTCATACCAGCAGCCATCCACAACGCAGACTGCATACCACCACTGCTACGACTCAACCAACCACCGACAATCGCACCGATAAGCAGACACACAACACCACCGATACGACGGTTACGTTTAACGTTCGTATTCGGCTTGTCGATGATCTTCGGATCCGACGCAATATCAAAGTAAACACTTGTCAAAACCACGGTCGGGATCTCATTGTAGCCCAGCGCACGACTGCAGGTCATTCCACCGGCGGACTGGAAAGCCAGCAGACCGATCGGGATCAACTCGAGGAAAAGCGGGCCGCCGGTTAGGGTGGCGTCAGCGGAGGTGTGGGGGATGAGATCACCTTGGATTAAGGCGACGGCGATGATGATGAGGATAGTCTGCACGAAGAACGAGACGAAGAGGGTTCCGCGACGGAGGGCGCCGACGCTGCGCATTGCGATTGAGAAGATCATTGAGCCGAAGAAGAATGACGCGATCGAGACGAGGGACTTGAGCCAGCCCCATGGCTTGTTGTTGGGTTGATTGGAGGCGCCGAGACCAAGGAAGATGGTGTTTCCTGTTTTTGAGGAGGGGTTGTTAGTTTTCTACTGTGTTTCGCGGGGGAAGTTGTTGGTGGTTTGGCTTTGCGCCCCTTACGGGAGAGCGACGGCTATGACTCGTACCTGTTTGCATGCCCAGGAAGCAGGACCACGCATTGTAAGCGCTGCTATCGCATAGACCGGTGAGGAAAGTGAGGAGCAGACAGACCAAGTCTGCGTGTGTGGGCGACAGGTTCTGCTTCCATCGTTGAGCGACACTGGACTGTTTGGCGGGGAGGTCTGGGGCTTCGAGATCGGGGGTGGCCGGGGCCTCTGTCTTCTCCATTTTGAGGGAATCTGAGTATGTGAAGATGTACTCTGTACAGGGTATGTACGGGGTAATAAATAGATGTCACAGGGAAAAGCCTAGGGTGTACAGAATTTTCTTGTTCCTGGGCGGCACGAGGCGACTTCCGGGGGGAAAAGTTAATTTATCGTAAGGTCCGATCACGGTCCCTCTTAAGTCAGACTTGATCTTCTTCAGAGCTACATATAATACATACTCCACACTATATATAATAACATATAATATTGCAAAATACTGCAAAATATTCCCAAACTAAACCCCTTTAGAATTGTGCTGCCTGGAAGCTCGGCACGCAATAGTGGAGAGTCCTGATGTGGTCTCGGATAGGGCTGAATTAAGGTAAACGATACACAGCCAACCACATCCTCTCTATATTACCCATTTTTGTAAGTCTTAGGACGTAAGTACAACTGTCCTTTGTATCCTAGGTATTGCTGGTTACACCTGAATGATACTATGTTGTACGTATAAATAGGGGGTTGATATTCCAAGGTTATAAATCTGGCTTACACCCGGGAGTGCCTATTAACCTATCTTCTTCTAACCCATTTCTCTTTCAATTTTTCTTCATCAATTTCTTTAGCAAATGATTATCAATTCTATTACCAATTTTATTGATATGACAGGCCTTCTTAGGTCTTGGCTATCTGCTATCAGACTCAGCTTCCTAAGGTCATTCCCGAATCCCTCCCTACCCGGGTTTTTTTACCCGAGGCCATACCCGAGTCCCTATCCGCTAATCCAACCTGTGCGTCCGATATAGGCCCTACCACACTCATTGAGCGTCAATGGCATATGCCAATATGCAAGGATTGACCTAGAACATGGAAGCGACAACCAGAATGGGTTAAAGGCCGACGCTACGCGAAGTCATGCAGTGCAGGGTTACAATAACTGTCGAATCATCCCGAAAATGTAAGCCCTAATCACTATTCGAATTCACGTGCTTGTTATGTATAAGGAGTGGGTGATCGCAGTTTCCCCAAGGAGGATTCCTGTCTTACCTAGGATTATGCACAATCCCGGTACGTATCCCGCATCTCATGCAGCCACCGTTTGAACTAAGAAACAGCTGCATCTTTCACCCTCTTCAACCTCTTTATCTCAGCTTCATTATCTTCATCATCTCCATATATTTTGATATAAAATATATACCCCACCCCAGGAACCACTGATAATTATGGCGCAATCTTCTTCAGCTCTGGGGTAAATATACGAGGTCAATCTCAGGCGCCATGATCTGCAGCCGGATACCAAGGCGCTAGGTATGGCTCACCGTAAGCCAAAAGGAGTGCCCAGGTCAGCTTATGAGATGCACTCCAAGGAGTGCCAGGACCTTGGCAAATGTGACTATCTCGGGCTTGCGGATGTTTTCGTCCCTATCTTCCGTGAAACCGAGGAGATCGGGCCTCCGTGTTCTGACCGGTCGTCTCAAGGTGTTCACAGTGAAGGACCTACACATTCCTCGGTATATGGAAACAAATTTTCTTTTTGTCTTGTGAGACGGCTTTTTCTTGCTATCGGAATATGTATCCTGGGACTTATTTGCCTTTTGGTCTTTGTCTACCAATGTTGAGACACCGTCTATGCCAAGGCGGATAGGACCTCTGTTCCTCTTTGGGGTCCATCTCTCACTAGTAATCTAACCTCCTACTTTGAACTACTAGAAGCAACTGGTAAATTACCACCTGACAACCTGACGACTACCGCGCCGACCAATTATGAAATAAGACATTTGTGGAGTAATTGCCATGAGATACTGTCGCCTGCCCTATTCCTCGATCATACGTACAACAAAATGCCACTCATATGACACCTTCCAGGGTACATAGTCAAGCTCAAAAGCATTTTTAAGCCGTGCGATCAGATCAACCCCTTACGTCCAGCCTCCAGCTCCTCTATCTGCTTCCTTAACTGTCGCCGTCTGCGCCTGGTACTCTTCTCTTCTCCGGCTATCTCCTCTAACTTGTCTTCTGGAAGACTGCTCACCCATGCAGGTGAAAACAACTTCATTGGGGCTTCAGGTCCGGTGACCAAGTGGTAATCTGCGGCTTGCATGCAGATATTGTCAATGAACCTCTTGAGAGCCACTTTGTAGTAGGCATGCAAAATGTCATGCAAGTCCTTGACAGTATGGTCGGTATTGTTCATTGGAGTTTGCTGTATGATATCACTCAACCTGACACACTTGCCATGATTACTGTATTCTATAACATGCTTGGACATAGCAGACCGCATGCGCTTTTGACGACTAGAAGGCACTGTCAGTTAGAGTCCCCAATCTCTTTAAGTAGGAAACGTGGCTGTATGTTGAGCATACCATATTTGCATATTATCATTTAGATAATGGTTCATGGTCATCGGGGTTCCCTCTAGTTCAATCCTCAGCAAAAACTCAGCTTTGGACAACGCTTGTCGGTATTTGTCCATTAAGGAGTCCATCAAAAGAGAAATGATGCTCGAGCATAATCTTGAATCATCACAAGCAGTACGAAGGTTCTCTTGTATGAATCTGTGAACAATCACAATGATATCGCTAATGTAGCCCATGGAAAGTGCCGACCATTTCATAGATTGTTTCTTCATCAAAGTCGCGATCAAGGAAGAACTGAATGTTCCGACTTCGAACCCTCTGGACTGATGATGTTGAGCTTGGATCCAATCTAGAACTCCTTTTGCAGATGGTAGTTGTATCTCAACATTTTCATGCAAAATTTCTTGAAGGTCTTCGCATGAGTCGGTATTTCGACTCAAGACACACTGCTCTTCATTGCTCGAATATCGATCTCTGTCGGATCCATCTTCCTCGTCAGAAATAGTAGGAGACTCGGTGCGATTATCATCCTTATAATTGGTTTGAAAAGAAAACCTGTGTCCCTTGGTTAAGATCTCATCCGCGAAAGTGATGTTTCGATTGATGACCGAAGTAGCCAGTCTTAGAGATTCCTTTTTCTCAAAGACGTCCCGTGCGCCATAGTTTGTGGTGAGAGCTAGCTGGGTTAACTCCTGGAAATCCGAAATGATGTCCAGAAGAAACCCCCTCTGCTGTTCTGGGGTTTCTCGCTCTTTGCCGAGGGATTTTAGATCCGCCTTAGCCTGGTTAAGCTTTTTTATCACTTCAGCACGAACCTGTCGGTGATGGGTAAGATGTCCATTCGTCTCTAGCAAATCGGGGCACCACATACTGATGGAAACGCACGACGCACACTAGCGGTCAGGACTTCCCGCAAGCGGCTCCTCAGCGCCTTGACACCAAAGTTCTCCACACGGAGACGATTCCAGGGGGAGGTTTGGTAAAAAACCTCCTCTTGCCTGTCTCGGTCGATATCAGCATGGCTTAGCTGTGCTTGTCCCAGGTTTCGAAGAACAATCCACCCGAGGCCATTAGTTGCATTTTCAACCATCTCAACCACTTTGTCCTTCGCTCCCTCATCAACAAGATCAGGTTTGGTCAAAACTTGCAATGTTCTTTCTCCCTCGGGATCCAGCTCACGAGCCATCTCAATGATCACCTGCGTAGCATCATCCACATTTGCAGGTACCACAGTCAACATAATCGATCGTTCATTTTTCATGTAGCGGAGAACCATTTCTCGCACAAGGACTATGTCCTCCTTTGTAGTAAGTCCAGGTTTGTGGGCCGAGAAGATACCAGGAACATCAATAACACTGAGATGGTTCTCTTGAGGACCCCGTATTTCAAGTTGAAGCACATGGTTAGAGAATGTCGGTAGCCCATCTCCATTAGAGACAGAAAGTCCCATTATTTGATGCACCTTATTTATGCAGACGTTTGAAGTCAATAGGTTATCATGATTTGTTACACAGATGGAGCGTATTCACCTCGGTCATCATCTGAGAAAAGCCTTCGTCACTAAGTGTCGCAATCCCCGAAGAACTCCATCTCGCAAGTTCCTCTTTCGCGGCTGCGTCTGTATCGGATGCAGGGATTATCGAAACAGAAATCTGCCGCTGAGTCAATATCAAATCACGCCGAAAGACTATCTGCGTGGCAAATCTGGTACACAGGCCACTGTCGCGCGGAAAGCTCAAGCGGGTCAAGCCTTCCAAGACTGAACTCTTGCCGCTGGACTGATCACCAACGACCACGATCTGAGGGAGGCCGATGTATTGTCCCACGTTACACGCAAATAGCTTATCAATTTTTTCGAGTAACAGGGAATCGGCCAGCGCCTGGCTGTCAGAACTGGTTTCCTGAAGAGTCATGATGATGCACAATCGTCAATGATAAGGCGAAGATGCGCGGAGAGGGATAAGCAATTGAATAGAGGGGGCAAGGAGGGTCTTTTGGGGTGAGGCACAAAGTAGTAAATATGGGAGACCATATATGTATGCAGCTTCTGGAAAACACGCGAGTCATGTATATGCAATGCAATAGTGACATGTTCAAGGTATGAAACAACAGATGTCTCCACGCAGCGCAATGGACTGGCTATCACGGGAGAAAAATCTTTTTCTTCTGGCTAGGCGCCCGATGGGCGCCTAGCCAGAAAGCCCACCCCGACACATATTTTGAGCAAATTGGGTGGGCCGAAATGTTAGATCTCTACGAGCTAAAAACGAACATATTCTGTGGAAGCGCTGTCGGATTGGCTTCCGTTCTCCTGGACACCCAGGAAACAGAAACGAGCAGGAGCCATCCGTTGCTCGTTCGATGGTAGGGCGTCACTGATGACTATCTCAAACGGAATTTCCGCCAAAAGTAACGTTGACAAATAGTCTACTCATACTGGACCAACTATCACAAATTGAGGTCGGCGGCCTTTTCTAGGAGTTTCACATCCTTGATGTGGCCCTTAATCGAAAGATATAATATGCACTACGATAGCAGGGCAAAGACGTCTTACCTGATTTGTTTGTGTATATAGTGATCATCAGAATGTTTAGTAAAGCAAGGCAATACATAGCGTTCATTATACGGTAACCGTATCTCCCTGGCCGCCAAATTTGAGATAATCCTATCTAACATCGCCATCAGACGCGGAGAGGCAGCTGGCGTAGAGCCACATATAGAACACCAGCTCTTTCCACATACTCATATTGAGCACACAGTCTGATAAACGTTCATGGTCTCCCCGGCAACCATCGGTCTTTTTACTTGAGTGAGTTTTGTTCCGAGGGCAATTTCACTCAGTCTAAAAAGACGTCATTAATCAGATTCAGATGTGCGGATCTTGATTAAATACACACCATCAAGCTCTTTGCAATGCCCATCCTTACAGCCCTCACACAATCTGCCGTTATGTGGACCCTTGCTCTTTTTCTTCGAGTAAATTGGCGTTTCCATCTGTATCCCACTCCATCTCTTGATTCGATAAGCAACACGATCCGCGTAAGATTGATCCAACTTCGGCCGACTAAGAGCCTCACAGCTCTTGCAACGCTGATGATACACCCGAGCATTGTATCGTGAACCGGGGTAGAGTCGAATAGTTATGGCTATCATTTTGCTCGACCAGCCATTCGACGGACATGAGGTAGCTTTACATACAAAGCGGCCCATGATATTTGTATCGTATTGTTCTTCGCAGGCATCAGAGTCGTCAAGTGGGTAGAACTTAAATTGGTGCAGGCTTGCTTCTGAGAGAATCCCACATACTTCCTTGTTTAATTCAGGGAAGAGAGACCAGCTTTTCTTCTCAACTCTAGGCTTGTTGGAGTTTTTACGTGCCATTCTGTTGGTGCTGGACAGGAATATGGTTCGGAATATATTAGGCCTTAGTAGTGTGATGAAGATAGAGCAAGGATAGGATCATGCTGGTGTGTTGGTAAAGAGGGGGGTACACGTATTTATTTACTGTCGCAAAGAGCGCATAATTGCATATTTTCTTCCGCCAGCGATGCTATCTAGCTAATATTTGAGGTGGAGAAAATTGGCAGGGGTTGGATAGGTGGCTGCGTTTGTTGACGTGTTCATACATGTACCTATTTTAAAACTTTCATTTGCTCATAAAAATACCTGTCCACACCATTCGACCACCAGTTTACAGCGACAAACTAGTAGGTGTAGCGCTTAAATCTTTATAATTAACAACTAGAGTCATATAGTTTAGCTTTAGCGGATACCTGACGCTATACTTGCTTTAAATTTGGCCTCAATGTGACAGATCTCGTGCAACTTCACAGCAGCTGGCTAACATCAGCCAATACAGCCTCGTTATTGGCGCCCGCTCCCAATAGAGAGCCGATGGAGCATCAAGAAACTACAAGAATCTAGTATTGATATCTCTTTGACACCCATCGTCATCGATCTAGACCAAGATGGATCTATTACCGCCGCAACCAAGTTCGTCCAGGACCGTTTCAGGTCAGGGTGTTTGAAACCAATGTATTCGGCGTGGCAGTGATGACTGCCACTTTTCTCCCACTACTACGCGCCTCGAAGTACCATAACCGACGTATCGTTAATGTAACGAGTGGCCTGGGTTGACGACGAGAATACGTTGGTTGAGTTTGGCTGATAGAATTACATCATGAGGCTGAATTAGCAATAGTCTATGAATTCTTGACGTAAATTACTGTCATTTGAATAAATGACACTTATCATTTATTAGACGCAACGTTCCTAGTTACTCAAGCGAAGTTGTCAATACAACCCAAGGATATATTAAATATAACAATCATCTCGTCAAATAGAAATAGACTTTTCCCTGCCACTCTTTACTCTCAATACACCCGGCCACCATATTATGTTTCACAGCTCGATAATGGACCATCATTGGTCGCTTATCGTAGACCAAAGTCGTAGAGAGGACTCCATGGTATTTGATTTCGCGTAGCTGTCAAGAAAAGAAATGTCAGCTCTCATATCCCAAGCCCAAACACGCACAGAATCCATAACTACATGTGAATATATAGATATACGTAGCTTACGCACCACTGGAGATGTGTCACAAAATAAAGGGAAAGGACTTACGGATGCACGCCCCCAATCCTCAAAAGGCACCCGTTCCCCGTTCCGCGCAACAATCAGCGGCGCCACATCCTCGGTGGAATAAAATGTATTGCCAAACCAATTGATCGTGTCCAGCTCCTCTTCGAATGGGTGGCCTGTGGTAAGAATATATCCGTCCCATTCGCCGATCAAATCATCTGGCTGAAGGGGCTTAAGCTCGTGAAAGACGGTGCTGATTTTCCCATCAGTTACCCCGGGGTTCTTGGTGAGAGAGACAAATTTCTTGGCTGGACTTGGCTGGAAACAGTCGAATGACACGCTTGGGAATTGGATTGTCATCTTGTGTGGTTGGCTTAGGTACAGCCTGGCGGTCTTGGAAAGCGAGGTCGAGTCTTCGCTTTCTGGCCACTGGATATGTGTTACCTCCATCTTTGCGTCTGCGTGGACCTTCTGTACTAAATATGATATTTGAATGAGGGCTACACAGAATGTAGCTCCTATAACAATGGAAGGTAGACGCTTCCAGCGGTTAAGACAAAATCCCCAGGTATGTTACAAACTTTCATCTGGAAGACACTACTGCCTATTTGAGAGCTCTTCTGACTCGCTATTTTATCTGATTAGTTCCAGCCGAACCATCATATCCTGTCAGGAAGGGATCATCGCGTGGGAAATGCTGCCAGTACCCCAGGCCGCGAGTGCCCGCACCTAATGTGTATCAGATCCTCCCGGCACTGGGTTGCATACCACGAAAAGAATACAGCTTATTAATAAACGAGCCAAATATGAGATATGAAGATTTTCTTGCCTGGTTGCCACATTCCAAGGGTGCATTCGACCCGCTCCGTGGCTATTCTGCCTGCGTTGCCAATGATCAATAAAGAATGGACTGTCACGGACCGTTATGACAGAGAGCGGGAATCCCAGCTCGAATCTCCTTTTTGGCAGGTAAATGATCGGATACTTTGGTACTTGATATAGTAGCCAAGGAAAGGGAAGTATCAAAATACATGCATACTTATATGGGAATGGCTTGATATTCCAAATACTCTACCATTAATGGCCACTGAGCCATAGGAATGTACGACTTAACCCAATACCCGCCACCTTTTGACAGCAAGACAAAACCGCAACGATCCAGGTATCTCTCAACACTCCCGCAACCTGAAGCAAAACACGGCCGCATTCTTCGCGCTCGAACCCCTCATCCGCTCTAAGTGCAAACCCATACTCTGATTTGGAGATATGTTGATGGGTAACCTTGGCCTGAAGTGAAGGAATGGCAGTGGCTATGAAGATTAGCAAAGTACACTGCTATAATGAGAATGTGGACATACCGATGTACTGGCTCTCGGTGTACCGAAAGTGCTGGGCATTGCGGTTCATTGTCACTCACTCATCAAACTACTTGCATTCTATGATTCTCCCCCACACGAATACTGATACATACGACCATAGGGTGTGGAAAACAGGGCTTCCCGTCCGCTCAGCCGTACTTAAGCCACACGCCGGTGAGTTAGTAGTTGGGTGGGTGACCACCAGCGAATCCTCACTGTTGTATGTCGGTGTTCACCTATCTTTTTTTGATTCGTTAGGAAATCCCCTCTTACCGCCCTACCCTTTAGTCTATTCAGCCCATTCACCTGAACGCCCTAAATACCACTATTCTATACCTAAATAATCCTACACGCCCCTAAATAGCTAACGTGTCCTTCCCCTCCCGTACCGTACTGATTTTTTTTCTTATAGGTAGCTAAAGCATTACACCAGTTCATCATATCATTCACCATCTCCAATTTACGCATAGCATTGATTCTTTACATCTCGTACTCCCTGAGTCTGAAACAGAGCAATTTCTTCTCCTTTCTATTTACAATTGATTCATCATGAAGATCTCTACTCTCGCTGTTACCCTCGTTCAGGCCTTGGCTGTCTCAGCCGCCGCTATTGGTAATAATACTTCCTGCAACGTCTCTAATGTAGAGATTCAATAGAGGTACTGATCTCTTTACCATATATAGGTGACCTTGCATCTGTCAAGCGGGCCGCTGACAAATGGAACGCTGAAGCTTGGAGCAACTTCGTCAAAGTGTATGCTGTTGATGATACCGCGAAGAGAGATGTTGAAAATTGGAATGCGGCTGCTTGGAGCAACTTCGTCAAAGTGTATGCTGTGGACGATACCGTGAAGAGAGATGGTGAAAATTGGAATGCGGCTGCTTGGAGCAACTTCATCAAGTCGTATGTCCAGGATTTCACCGCGGAGGACTCTGAATAGAGTGTTAGGTCAGTCAATAAGTTCACCAGTTCGGCGGTTCGCAAGGGTATGGATGGATGATATGTATTGGTTGGTATAAATTGAATTGGGATGGAACGAGAGCTTCTGTAGATAGATTAGGAGCAAATTTATGCACTTGATATATTAATCTCAGGATATACGACATGGTGTCTCTAAGCAATGGCTTGTTTTTATTCAGATTTACTGCTCATCTAGATTGCGGGCTGATCCGTGCGTATCCCGAATGACTGGTGCGACCTCCAGCAACCTAATCCTTTTCTCAAGAGGATTTCTCCTGACGTGGCGTCCACATCCAGTGTGCTCCAGTGGATTCGGGCTTGTGATAGCCGAGTACAGTCAAATCCGCTTATAGTAATTCGAAGCTGCTGGAATTCGAATTCTCGTTTATTCAAGCAATTTCAGGCCGTTGAATTATAGTGAGACTGCCAAAGAGCTCTGTTTTACTTGTAATCTGAATTATTCGAGCAAATTAATGCTGCTAGATTAGTTTAAATCAACCAGATTTGACTGTATTGCCAAACGTGACCTTGGAAAGATTGCAAAGGCCCAAAAATGATTTCAATTCTCGTTTCGTTCGTGGTTTCGGCCACCGCCTTATCGTCTGGTCCTGATGTAACCTACATCCCTGCTAGTAATAGTTCTGGAAAGAAAAAGCAAGAAAAAGAGAAGAATGAAAAACCGAAAAAAAAAACGAGGAATACCCATTTTGAATGTTTATTTAAGAAAATACAAAAAAATCAAGAAACAGAGTTCCTTCAAAAAATACGGAACCAGAATGAAGACCAGCGATCTTCTCAGGGTCGCGGGCGGCCCGGAAGAAACGGAGCAGGAAACGGGTCTCTTCGCAGGGTGGATTAGGGGTCTTGTATTATAGTTTTATATTACCATTTTTGCCTTGAAATATTGATTCATTTTACCATATTTACTTTTAAATTATAATATATATATTCTATTTTTTTTTTCCGAAGTTTCTCATACTCCACTCCACTAATATAGCGTGCTCCGTATCGTGGAAGGGCGGCTGGCAATATTACCCGCTCTACCCTCTCCACACTAAACTTATGCTTCGCGAGAAAATCACGGACACTACTTTTTTTCCGTTTCAAAAATATCAGGACTTCCTTCTTTCTGTCTCTTCTCTCTTCTGCAGATCTGATACCAGTCCAAGACGAGTTTGCACGCGAGTATGTCAACCACTGTAACACTGGAAGAGACATCCCTGTCCTCCTCGAAAGGGGCTCCTCCTCAAACTGTTGCGCTCAAGTCATTGCCAGTAGAAAATACCTTGGGCAGTGAAGAACAGCTCTTCAGAGACGTTTCCGAGAACCAACCAGCACAATGGAAGATTGCAGTTATCCTTATGCTTGTCAGCCTCATGTATATGATCAGTACAGTCCTCAGCGGAATACTGGCAGTTGGTCTCCCCAAAATTGCCAAGTCAATCAATCTTGATGAAGGCCTTCTACTTTGGTACGTACCATACATGGGTGACTACTGAATTCATTCGATAATTCGTCCTTATTCTGATAATTAATGACATACGATGCTCCCAGGCCAGCCTCGGTCTACTCTCTTTCCTGTGGCTGCACATTGCTCCTTTCCGGGAGTGTGGCAGACGTGGTTGGCTGTCGCCGTATCTATCTTCTTGGGAGTTTTCTATCGACGTGTCTGATTCTGGCCTGTGGCCTTGCGCGCGATGGGATGGAACTGATCATCTTCCGCGCTCTGCAGGGCGTTGCGATCTCGCTCTGCTTACCAGGTTCAGTCAGCATCGTCACCAAGACTTTTCCTCTGGGCCGTATGCGCAACATTGCTTTTGCCTGTCTGGGGGCCGCACAGCCCACGGGGTTTCTGATTGGGCTCATCATTGGAGGGATTCTCATCGACAGCATCGGCTGGCGAACAGCAATGTATCTCATCGCAGGCATCAATGCCGGGGTATTCGTGGTCAGCTGTTTCTTTTTGCCTTCAACCGCAGACGATCAGTTGAGTTACTCAATTCTGCGCCGTTTTCGAGAGGACGTTGACTGGATAGGAGTCTCCCTCATCAGTGTTGCTTTTGGATTGCTCTCTTATGTTCTGTCTGCAATCTGTGCTCGCCCAAGCTCGATTTCCACTGCAGCAAACATTGTATTGCTTGTTGTTTCCTTGGTTCTAATACTAGCTTTCTTAATCTGGGAGCACTACCAAGAGAAGTTCAATCGACCTGCTCTCATCCCCAACTCCATCTGGCGCAATCCGATATTCACGTCCACGTGTATCATGGTGTTCTTCGCCTGGGCCACCGTCACTACAAACCAGTACTTCCTTGCACTCTTTTTCGAAGAGGTTCAAGGACTCTCTGCCTTTCAGACTAGCCTACGCTTTCTACCTCTTGTGGTCAGCGGAGTCTTGACGAATATTGCTACTGGGGCGCTGGTACGCCATGTGAGGGCCGATATTCTCATCGGAGTGTCAGTGCTTCTCAGCGCAGCAACACCGCTGATAATGGCGTTAGTAGTTGTCAACCATTCCCAACTGCCTTACTGGGCAGCGGCATTCCCTGCGGCTATCCTTTCTCCAATCTGGGCTGATGTGACACTCACTATAGCTAATTTAGTAAGTTTACTTCTCATATAACTACCTATATATTCGCAGTCTTTCTTTTCCCCATATGTACTGACGTAAATTACCACAGGTTATCACGCAACTCTTCCCACGGTCGCTCCATGGTCTTGCGGGAGGAGTTTCTAACACATGCGCACAGTTGGGGACTAGTATCGGCCTGAATCTCACGGCTATTCTTGCCAATGCTGTTACTATGAGCTCTACGGAGAACAAGTCATCCCCTGTAGCCCTTGCGGAGGGTTACAGCGCCGCGTTTTGGGCCTCTTTCGGGGCAACGGTGGCTATGATTCTTGTAACTGTGCTTGGAATGAGGACGGCGGGTAAAGTCGGGCGGCCGAAGCATGATTGATCCTCGAGAGCATGGGGTTTTAAACCGTAGATCGGAGGTTTTATTAAAGATCCTTCTTCACTCCCCCTCTCTCTTTCCCACATAGAGGCCCCTCACTAGAGCGTTTCGATTAATTATTCCTGTTTAGTTGAATTGGTCTGAAACATCATATAGAGAACTATCAATATAGCCTCATGGTGCTCGATAATTCCATAGCAGGTACTGTGGGGGATTATAATGATGACGGTTCTGATTTCTCAAATTTTGTTGAGCCAGCCATTGCTATATAATGACAATAGGTATGTAGGCCACTGTCAAATAGTGTTCAGTTTCTAATACTCAACCACAGAATTATCTAGTGTCCTGGAGGACAAATTTACGCCTTCACCTTGCTCAATTGACTAGGCTCACCATCCTCTATGAAAACACCTATTTAGGCTAATGAGGGCTGGCGTTTGGTCGCCGCCGTGGTCACTCAAATATTCTCATACATGATCGACAGTGGAGTTCGATACGGCTACATCTGCATAGGGGAGGCCTTGGTTTTCCTACATATCCCGGAAGATGACCCCACGATTGTTCAATCTTTCTTGTGTATCCCGAATCAAGACGTGCAGCCGGACGATGAATTGCGCCTCCACCGGACCGCCATCGGGCAGGTACTTACGTTTACCCTTTAAGCGCTGGCCGCAGAAACTCCCCCTCAAGAGTGGCACGACATAGCACACGACAAGCTGACGACCTAGGAGGTTGAATACCTTGACGTGTTGAAGGAAATTCCCGAAACTCTCCATAAAGACGCGAGGTCCTCTAATTATCGGCCCTCGTATTAGAAATGAGATCAGAAAGTACACAACATACGCTCTCGCGCTCGCTATCAACTAGATTTATCTATACTAAAGCACTCGTCGCCCGAAGGCAGTAGCAGCGATTAAGAATCGCAATCGCTATCCGCCGCAGCAGCGTCGCGTATCCGATTAAGCCGTAGCCGAGGTAACAACTGTCAATCAACTAAAGGAAGCGAAAGGACACAAGCCGGCGAGGACAAAAACTATACTTCTCGCTAAGACGAGTATTCTGCACGACCCCAATAGGGCCCTAGCCTGGGTCCGGGTCCGGGTCCGAAATCTCGACCCAAATCCGGGTTGTGCGATAGACTAAGGTCTATATCCAAATCCTCAAGGCTACGGATGTTGGATATCAAAAAATATCCAAATCCGCACTTTGCAGATATGGATTGCGGATCGTGCCGCAGCCTATGCCGAAGTCTACTCCTAGGGCTAAGACTTACTTGTCGAAGATTAGTAACTTGTCCCTATAACCAGATTCTATTCGTGGCAGCACTATACGCTAGATTTCATTATTACTATGCTCCCTGAAATCCACAACATTGCCTATATATTTTAACGTCGGGTCATGTTTGGTTCGTATCTTGCTCGTGACAAAAGCGGGGTTAGAGTGATAAAGCGAGGCTGGAGAGATAAAAGCGGTGGAAAAACGAAGGTTACTTACAACTTTTTCGATCAGAATGGGAAAATGTATCTTTTGCTGTACGGGCTGAATATTTAGGTGAAGAAGATTCAGGTAGGTGAATATCTGCCCGGAGTGCCCTGAGGAGGGCTGAATTAGAGCGGCGAGCCGCCCATGCCCGAACCGTGGGCGCTCGGTGAACACGACCTTACACATGGTTGTATGTTTTTGTTCACCCAATTTTCTTTTACTTGTTCGGAGGCTCCCTTTTGCCGCCCTACTCTTCGGTCCCTTTAGCCCATTCACTTAAATACCCTGAACATGTGAGTGATTTTAAAGCTTAATATTCAACTTCGAACACCTACCGTGGTGAAATACGTTAGTTAGAGAAAAAGGCCGTAAGTCAATTATTTCGTTGTGGTCATTGGCTGTTCGAAGGTCGCACCCTTACAGTGTCCACGGGTACTTCTTCCCACTTCTTAGCTTTACTTCCGCCCCTCGATCTTTTACAATTCTATCTTTCCAACTATGGAGCACCTATTCCCATCTTTTATCCGCGTCATACGTAATCTCGATGACGCTACTAGGCTGCTCGCGACTTTTCAAGAATTCGAAAGCAACCCGTCTGCTATCAGTGTAGAGGATCGCGTTCGGTTTCTCGACTTTCCTGACTTCTCAACCCAAGAGGCAAACATTTCCGCTGCAACGACTCTTAGTAAGGAAGAGCTTTCAAAAAAGGCTGCTCAATCGCCTAGAGACCTTACTTCGTCTGAGGTTGAATTACTACATAGCCGTTATTGGGGACAAATCAGCTTCCCGGAAGAAGATATCCGTTTCGATTGTTTCGAGAATTTAAGGCTAGTTTCTAATGAATACTACTTTCAAACACTCGAGCGGCTTGAGAGATTCCGAAGTTCTTTCTACGCGGAATTCGAAGCGGATGCATTAAAAAACGCAGAGGCGGAGATTTCCCGATGGGAAGATAAAAGAAGAGAAGCTGAGGATAGAGCAGATCTAGCACAGATTCTCGAATATGGCCACCCCTGGCTACGCCAGCTATGGCAGGAAGACGAGGGCAAAAAACCATGGGGCTATACAATTTTCCAAAGCTTCCAGTGGAAGCTCGAGGATCCTGAACGGCAGGAGTTATATGAACAAAAACAATCTAACTTATTCCATTGGGCGCACCTCGCTATTGGTTCTGGAACAAAGATCGGATCCCGGTGGTACCTTGAGGGCCTTGATTTGCCCTCTAGAATTGGTAGTGATGAGTCTTTCTTATCGACGTTAAATCAATTACGGAAGCAATTCAACTATCTCCGATCTCAGCCTCCTAAGAAGCAAGCACCGTATCTATTTATAGATATGGCCGAAGGCAAGATTGACGCTATTCCGGAGGGAATTACGGAAGGCCTTCTTCGCAACGTTTTCTTATATCTAGATCATAGCGCTGCGGCGTCAGTCTTAGATTCTCGCGGACCAGATAGCGTATGGATCTGGGCTGTTGACCCAGACTATAAGCCAAAAATCCAGGACAGCTCGAGTGGGTACCAAGGCTTTCTTCGCGTTCGTCTTCAGCAACTTCTCAATCACTTCTACGTTGCCCGGCGCTGGCACGCGGACGAGTGGTCGATGGAGGACTTATGGAATGCGGCCCGGAAGGACCCTCACAATGCCTCTTTTGTTTCTATGAAAGACGAAGAAATCTTTGCGCAGAACTTGAGCCGGGAGGTTGCTACCGCTATGAAAAAGTCCGAAGGATAAGATCATGGAGTCTATAGCGTACGAGCATGTAGATCTATAAAATGGAGAAGATGAATGTGATTAGGATCAAAGATAAAAGATGACGATAATGAATCTAACTAGCTGCCATGAAGCTGCGTCTATATAGCTTCATGGGACAAAGAAATCAAAGACATAAAGGCTAGAAAGATCTAGTAACAAACGCTCTATGAGCAAAGGAAGATCTGCCATACACTACATAAAGGCAAAAGGCATAAAATGCATCTTTATCATAAATAAATCATTAGACTAGCATTCACTTTGTTAGGTTAAATATGTACTGAGCCCATGATGTTGGGTTGCCCCATAACTCGAAGATTCTATGCTCCGTACTCATCCAGCGATAGAATAAGTCACCAACAGTCTCTACATTTAATTATTTACATTTGTTGGAAGTAGTTCCGATGCAGTATGCTTCTCCAGCCAACAGCCCCTGACATTCACCCTTCTTCGTGTTGAGATGGCGTGGTCGAAGGCTCCATCGAGACGGGCGTAGGAGTTTGCTGGTGAGACGATTAGGTCGAAGGTTGCTCCTTCTGGGAGGGAGTTTAGGCGCTCGTTTATTGGAGTGATCTTTAGTTTTGCTGTGTCGTGGTCTTGCCAGGTCTTTTCGAGGGCATCGTTGAAGGCCGTCAGGAAGATTTTGTCCATGCAGAGCAGGATGATCTCGGGGATGTTGGATGTCATCTTTTGTTTAGTGCAGTTGTTGGTGAAGGGAGAAATGCTGAGAGTTTGATGTAAGTTGGCAGAGTTTAGACAGCAGGGTATAGTGACCTAGGTACTTGATTTCCTCTGCCACTTCTTGGCGTTCCCTTTTCGTTTTAGTGCTCAGTCCGTATTTTCTTCGATCGTTTGCCGAACTTGATTTTGTGTTGAGCGATCTGGGACCCAGCTGTATGTCCGACAGTTGTATATCAAGCACTCCTTCAACAACAGCAGCATTGTTCACAATTTGCTTATCTTTGGCTTTTCTGGGTGGTGTTAGAAAGTCGCCACCGGCTGTTGTGCAGTTGTTGGCTTGTTGCCTGGCGGGTTATCAATCGTGTCACCGTCGACTTAGGTTGTCATGCCAAGATAGGAGGGTAGACATCTCACACACTGGAAGAAGATTATGGAGGGCTATGGTTGTGTGAGATCAGCAGTGCGCTTGAATACTTTGCCGACCATCTCTCAACTAGGTTGAGGGTCCGGTTCTGGATTTTTGGAGAGCGTATGGGGGGTTTTGAAATCCTCAAGATATGCCTGGAGCTGGGGAAGCTTTCCCTTGAGATGCGAGACTGTGGTTGATGTTGCCGCATTAAATGAAAGTAATTTGTGCGCAATCTTTGGCTGTGCTATATGGCTGTCGTAGAATAAAATCTGGTTCGGTTTCTTGGTGGAATGGAGATGTCTTTGGCGTAGTGAGGAAGCGAAGTAATTGTGTCGAGGTTCTACTTTAGTCCCCACTACTTCCATTGTTTATATCTCCCAGATGGCAGGTGCAATACAGTCATGGGGCTACAGTTACGGGCACTTAAAATCAGTTGCGTACTGTATACAGTGACTTACAATGCCCAAAAGGTATTGTAGCGAATACTTTTAACAGGTGTCTGCGAAGTTTTCCGGAACAGATATAATTTCCGACGTGTGTCAACCTAGACTACTCTCTATAGAACAGCGGATTGAAGATCACATACAACAGATATTGAATAATATAACTAAGGCAGACTGACAGCATATTAGCAGCCATGAACTACTGTAAACCGGGGGTAAACCGAAGTACACTATTTGGGTTTCGGTGCAGAACCATCTATACCTACAACCCGTAAAGGTGGTACATTCCCAAGGTTGCTATAATCTTTTCATATCATTACTTACCTAGGCAGTGTTCTTTTCACTACTCTTCTCTGCACCTTCACTTTTCTCTTACTTTCCTCTTACTTTTCTCTTAATTTTTCATACGCCTTTACTTGCATTTCTCAACGCTTTGACCAGCAAGACGTCCTCATCACTATGGACCGTCGCAAGCAGGTCAGGACCGACTATTCGGCATATACCATTACTGAATCGATCGAGGATCTTGCTCTCACTGGTTTCCAGTCGGCAAAACATACCTTTTTTCCCCCAGAGGAAATCGCTGCCGCAAAGCCAGAAGAAACCCTCGCCCGCATGCTATCGACCAAATCCTACATATCAATTACCTCTAGCCTCACGGAACTGAACAATGAAGCCCGAGGTAACCCGTCGCAACGACAATTCCTAGAGATTGGAAAAGGACAGTGCGGTACTGTCTACGCCATTGTGGGAACGGATACCGTCGCGAAACTTCCCAACTCCCCGGTCAAGGTCCCCCAACTACTTGCTGACTTCAAGATGCACGCCTCTGTCAAGGAAGCAATGGACGACGTTAAGAATCTGATAAAACTGGACATCCACATCCCCAAGTTGTACAGCTGGGAAACGCCCAAGTCAAAAGGTTTCTGGACCAACAACAGCCTACATTTCCCAAAGACTGCGGATGCGCAAAATTTCGCTATGATCTCAAGCCGTGTTTTCCCCCTCCCCCTCCTAGTTAGGGAGGCTATAGTTGATGTTCTTTGCTCTCCAAGCATTCAGAAGTACAAGTTGGAGTTCCTGGCCAAGCCAGAAAACAAGGACTGCTTGATTCGGGTCTATCTCGGACGCCGAATGACGAACAAGACTAACCCGAATGTGAAGAGTTTCAAATTACGCAATTTCCCGCTACATGTCAACGAAATGGAGGATTTGCAGCTGAATACCTGTGCGTTCGCCCATGTCATGGCCCAAACCCTAGCCATTCTACACTGGAAAGCCGGCGTTGATGGCAACGATATCGAGTTCATCCTTGGTAGCTCCCCGTTGTTGTCCCAAATGCCGCGGTCAGATGAGATTACGGACGAGGACGAGTGGTCGCTAGGAGATCGGTTTGATTTTTCTCACCGGTCAATCAGCATGTGGCTCATCGATTTTAATCTGTGGGTACTATTCCCGAATATTGCTGGACACTGCTAACATGTCGATAGGTGCGCAAAGTTCGAGGAGAACCCTGCAGGTCTGAAACAAATCGTGGACGCTTTTACCTGGAATGACCCCTACTACCCATCACCCGAGTTGACCACTGCTAAGGATAAAAAGCTTTGGTTCGAGTTTCGCAAGCGGTACCTTGAGGTTAGCGGTGTTCTGACTACGAGCGCAATGCCTGGGCGTTTCATTGCCGAGATTGAAAAGCGAGGACGTAAGGCAAATGTTGGGGAGCTTTTCTGATTATGAGGAGGGACCAAATACGCCCAAGTGCGTTGTTTTAATGAATTATGGGGACGTTGCTTTAATAAGGGAGAATTTGTGAATATTCTTATTAGCTCCTTATTAGCTTACTTTTCCATGGTCACAATAGGAGGTTCTGACCCTGTCTGATGAAGCTTAACTGAAAAGCTAGACACCTTCTCTCTAACTAACTAGTTAATTACATGAGGTGGCCATGATCTGCAGGCAGAAATAAACATTCAAGCTCCAATGTGTGACGTGAACCCACCTTCTTTTGGAAGCATATGTTCTCACTGCTAAGGGTAATTCGTACAAACTACCTGTACCCGTAAACAACAAAGGACATTCATTCATCTATTCCAATATCCCTCTCTTTCCTCAAAGTTGGCTCTTCCGCTAAATCGGCATCACCTCTCACAGCCCGACTCTCCTCTTGAGTCGACACGTACCGAATCAAGCTTTCACACAACCGATCCAGAACCCATTCAGGCTCTGTCTGTTTTGCCAGCATGGGGCTGTTCTCCCCAATCCAGTCCCAATTGAGAAGTCCATATTCGTCTTCATCAGTATGAATGCCTTCCTCACTTGCCGGCTGGTTTCTCTGTGATGATGGTGGCCGACCTCGCGGATCCGTGAACTGAATGAGCCGGGTGAACTCGACCCATTCTTCGTAGGAGTATCGTTTTCGCTTGCCTTCTCGTGCCTGTTTTGAGGCGCGGCGAATAGCAAAGGCAAGTTGCTGGGCAAGTTCGGGTGGGGTCGGATCGCGAACAAGTTCCTCCAGTGATCGGTGTGGATGAGACTCGGCCAAGTCCTCATTTTGAATGTTAGATTGACCAGATTCCTCGGCGTCCGCTGTTTCCCCGTTGTCGGGCTCGTCAGCTCCCTCAAGTGGGAAACCGCGCTCTTGTCGCTTTTTCTCTTGGCGAGACAGTACGAACTGGGCAACGCCGGGAATCCGACTGAAGCATGTCTTGTAGGCATGGGATTGGGGAAGCACGAGGTACTCGGCGAATACTTCAGTGGCGCGCTTGAAGCTGGCGACAACTGTATCGCTCATCTCGGAAATGAGCATGGTCATTGTTGGGATGGCGATTAGAGACCATACCACAAAGAAAGGTTTCCCTGGGTTCGATTCCGGTGTGAAATCACCGTAGCCGATGGTTAGTAGGGAGGTGAAGCAAAAGTAGAGTGATTCGAAATAGGTCATGGCTTCTAATTTCCAGAATACCACTGCTCCGCAGGACCACACAATTCCAAATGTAACGATGCTGATGATCAAATTGTTCCAGCGACGGAAACGCATGGTATCGTGCTGGATACGGCGCATAGCGTCGAATCGATCTTTTTCTTCACGCATAATAAGGATCCTGGGACGGCGAGCCGTGGCAATAGCGTTGATGGTGTTGCGAATTGGCCGGTGATACAGAGGGCGACTAGGCTCGGATTTTTGGCGAGTGAGACCCGGAGGGGTGATAACTTCTCCACTAGTCAGGTGTTTCTTTTGAGAGGATTGGACCTCGTCAAACGTGATTGATCGCTCGAAGGTGGATTGCCGCTTCTGTTCAATGTGTTTCCGAACGACGTTGTCGTAGTGAACCTCGCGAGCAAATTTAAAGATGCTTTCCACCACCAGTCCCAAAATAATAATCCCAATGACTGCATATGGCCAAATAAGTCCTCGACCAACGGCACTAGTCGCAACTATGTTGCCATACCCTAATGTGAGAACGGTGACATCGGAAAAGTACAATGCATCGGCGAAAGAGATCCCGAACACTCGCTGAAACATAGCAGCACCAATCAACAGCCAAATTACCAATGCAGTCATTTGTAGGATCAAGGTTCGTTGCTCGTCGGTCAGTGAAAAGTGTTGCGGGTATTTACCAAGAAAATAGCCTAGCATGTTGATCATCAAGATAATGCTCAAGATAAAGTAGAGAATTGCCGCAATGACAGCACTCCAATAACCCTGCGAGTAGACCCTATCAATACCTATCGGAGGAGCATAAATTTCTGTGGCTATTGTAATTCCAGAGAGCTACAAGCAAGCGTTAGGTCTGGGACATACAAAACCCGTGAGGTTACTCACGATTCCCGCGGCTAAGAACCACAAAAAGATCGTCACGGGTAAAGCTATAATGTAGCGTACGATCTGAGTAAAATTGAACAGTAAAAACGCATTTCCCACGATCCCGCAGAAAAGTGAAACGGCATTTAGAACAGTGCCCCTATTCGTGGTGTTAGAGATATCTGATTCAGGGTCACAACCTCTTGCTTTATACTCACCAACGAGGATCTGGATATCCTTCTTGAATGGATGTTCCAGCAGCGGTATGTTCATTTGGAAGAATTTTGCTTCGCCATGGCATAACCAGTGCAACGATTGACATGACATTGGCGAGTGGTCCCGTTGTAGCGGC